CCCCCCCCCCCCCCCCCCCACGGGCAGAGCGTGCAGCAGCAGCAGCTGCTGCTGCTGCTTCTGCTGCTGCTCCAGGGTCTCCTGTGTGATGAAGACCCTTGAAAGAAAAGATTTACAAGGAGCCACAGCTGCTGGTGCCACCAGCACGGTTACTGCTGCCCGGCGCTTGCGCAGCAGCAACAGCGGCTTCGCAGGAGTCTGCTGCTATCGGTGAAGGGAGCATAGGCTCAGAAGCTGTAGCTACCAGTTCAAAAGGAGGTGCTATAAAGTCACAGGAGCAGCCAGCATGGGAGATAAATAAAAGCAGTGATGCGCGGCTGCACGCCTGTAGTTGCTGCTGCGTAGCAACAGCAGCAGCGGCAGCGGTAGCGGCAGCAGCCGACAGCGGAGTTGCGTTTTAAACGAGCTCTAAACGTTGCTCCCGCAGTTAATTGTTTAGTTATTGCTGCTGCTGATGCGACAGAGCGGCGCGAACAGCGAATATGATTTTCTGCATTGTAGCAGCAGCAGCTGCTGCTGCAGCTGCCTCAAGAAAACAGCCTGTCTTGATGAACTTCTCAGGAGCATTTAACTCCACATGTTGAATTTCGAATAAAGGAGAGGCAAATTTCAAACTAATATTCTCTCAACTCGTTAAAAGATATAAATTCTCCCTGACCAGCCTCCCCTCTCGATCTCGTCTCCAGAGGACTCCAAGCATGCCTGGAGAAGTTTCTATTAGAGTCTTCCCTTTCGCGCTCTTCTTGATTGCTGCATATGTAGCAGAGCCCCAGGGGCCTGGCAATGGCACTTCAATTAGCAACGGGGTGCCTTCTCCCCAGCGGGCGCGTTGCCCTCGCCTCTGGAGAAGGGCACGCAGAGTGCTTCCGTAGAAGCACAACTTGAGTTCCAAAAGCGAAGCCACAGCTATAGTAGTGGACGCCGTAGCGTCCTTAGGAGATTAGCAAGGTTTGTAGCATGTGTATGAAAAGGTGTAGTTGCAGCGGCCACCTCATTGTGTAGAGGAGCCACGCTGCGCTGCAGAAGCGGCAACCCAACAAGCAGCAGCAGCAGCCAGGAATAGCGGCACCAGCTACTCTGCGCCTCGCGCTAGCAAGCGGCATTGAACCACTGCAATCTTCAGAAGCACTTTGAAGGCTCCTGACGGCAGAAATAGTCGACATGGAGTACGACCTCGACTGTTGAACTCAGAGTTGCAGCGATATTGTTGCTGTTGCTAGGCGCGATTGATGCAACAGAGGGTCCCATAGAAGAAATGTGTAACTTCTCCTTCCGTATGCTTGTACGGGCAACGGGCATCTGCTGCTCAGACTAGCAAACTGTCCGTAGAACGGGTGACAACCAAATAAAAAAGCTCCGAAGCGGATAAGTGGATGCACACACACTAGCCATAAAAGAAACAGTAGTAAATGTCCATATACCAAGTGGTGCACCTCAAATAAACTCGTCGTATGATACAGTTAAACGCGGAGGTATGCATGTACCGTCTTGCACTCTCGTATTTTCTGCATATTCACTCACCTCCCATTATGGGTGTATTCGTGCAACTACGCAGTACATGCATATAACCATATACTGTATATGTACATTAAGTGTCCCTGTGGATGCAGAGGTAGTTTATGCAAACCGACAGTGGGCAGGCAATTCGCTTTGTCAATACACTGCAGCAGGCTGCCACACCCAGGGCCCCTCGAACACCCTTAACATGAAAACCAGACGACGAGCATAAGGTTAAGAGGGAGACAGAATAAAAGCTGGCTCTAACCTCGCTGTTCATACACCGGAGCGGGAAAGAAGCTGGAAGAAGATGATAAGGAAGCGACAGAGGGGGAGCCCGACGCGACAGAAAAAACTGTCATGCGGCCACTTGCTGCACGCCTTCTCCAAAACAACAAGAGAAAGCAACGGACGCAAACAGGTCAACTCAGCAAACCTCACTTTGCAACTGCCGCAGTCACTGCGGCTCGGCCGCAATACGCTGCTTGTTTGCGGTAAAGCCGAAGCTCCTGCAGGAACTGCAGCAGCTTCGGTGGCTCAAAAGCTTTTTTTTCGTTTCCCACTAATTAATGCAAAGTAGCAGTGTACGCAAAAAATGATGTGTTAGAGGAAGCGTAAATGGCCTTTTTGCTGCGCTGTGGGGAGTTTGTCCACCTCTAAGATGCTGCCATAGGAATCCGTGCAGCTGCAGCAGTAAACACGGACACTGTTGCAAAATAAGTGGCAAGCACGATAGCCAACGCATCTGCAGCCACCAAATCGATATGGTTTTCCGCAGTTGTCGCTGCAAGCGCTATAGAGGGAGCTACACTTCTTCCTGGGACACAACATGGTACATGCCAGTCACTACGAGAGTCTCCGCAGCGTCTTGGTTGTGCTGCTGCTGCTCCTCCTCCTTCAACTGCTCGGATGTGTTCTGCAACCTCTCCTGCTGCGGTTGGGGCAACAGGTGCTGCTGCTGCTTGTCGCATCCATCCTTTCCGGAGCAGAACTCCCGGAGACTGCCTTCATTTCCGGATGCAGACGTACAGATGGCACAGCGAAGATCCTTTTCTGCCAAAGCCTGCAGCAGGAATTCGGGTGTACACATACCAAGCAAACGCCACAATGAGAGTTCACAACTAGAGGTGCCGTTCCTCGCCTCACCAAATCACTCCCTTTTCTCATGAGTAGAGGGAGAGGCAGGTACGAATCGACAATAGATACTCACTGAATGCTGTCGGTCTACAGTTATCCACGGCACGTGGTCGTGTTCAGGTGTCTGTTCAGCCATCATGTGTTGGATTCTTTCTCCCTGAGCACACAAGCACCAATATGCCGACACAGCAAAGTGGCTAGAATCACAAGAAAATATGTATGTGTCGACACCAAGAAAACGAGGGAAGGGATGTTTAAAAGCCTAGACTGCCCACGTTGCAACATAGAACGTTTAACTGAAGTAAGTCAAAAGTGTCGGCTGGATAGGATGCGCCTGGCGTGGCCTTATGTAAATTACCGCTGAAGTGAGACTGCAGGCAAGGATCTCGAACATGAGCATTTTTGCTTGGCTGCTAGGGAGGTTGATTTCACACATGATCCAAGAGTTTTTTCCCCCTGTTGCTGCTGCTGCTGCTGCTGCTGTCACTTCAGCAGAAGACAAAGCTGCGTCGTTCGCTGCCTTTGCTGCTGCCATTGCTGCAGCAGCCGCATCGCGAGCAGCAGGGCCCACTGCCCCGTGTTTTGCTGCTTCTGCTGCAGCTTTCGCTGCTTCAATTGAGCGCCGGGCCTCCCTTATGGCTAGCTGGCTAGCTGCTATTGCCTTTGCCAAGTGCGCTTCCGCCTTAATTAGACTGGCCGCATCTAACTGACTTTTGTTCACACAGTCTACCCAGGGGGCCCACCTGTGCAACACAAACCACAATCCCTATACCCCAACACCAGAAAGTCCCAAGCAGTACCCGTGGCCTCTTCCTTGCTCCTTATGTTATTTGGCTGTGTTTACTCACTGTGCTCCCCTTGGTTTTACTGCTATTTTGCTGCTACTGCTGAAGATGCATTGGGAGACACCTACACGTCAATTCGGGCCTCCCTCAGTATTGCAAGGCCACAGGCCTCCACTCGGTTCAAGTAGCACTCCTCTGGACCGTGCTGAGGCGAAACGACAGGCAGGGTTACAACTGGAGGAAAACAACAGGAAAGTCGAGGGCATGTCTGCGTCCTGCTGTATGCACGGCAGCGGCGTTTCGGCTAGCTGCAGTAGCTGCGGCTCAATCTGTCTGAGCAACAAGAGCGGGAAAACGGGAAAAAGGAGGCACTCACCTGGCACTCATACTCGTAGTGTCCCGTCTCTGTCAGTGTCTCCTTTGTGTTCCCGTAAGGAACAGGGTGTATGGCAACCTTGGCAAGTTGCAACTCCTTCGCATAAGGCGCCACATCCAGCAGTTGCTGGTAAATGAACAGCTGGCTTGCTGGGCAGCGCTGCACGAACAGGATAATAGGAAGACAAAGATATGGAAGCCATGAAGGGTTTGTTTTCTTGGGGCGGTTGGGGGCGCCCGAGACACGTGACCGATGGTGTGCAGTGGGCAGGGGGGTAGTCTGGTCTAGTGGAAGGAGGAAAATGAGATAAGCACGGCATAAATAATACATTTAACAACTTTTAAGCCTTACACTTTCATAATAAACACCGATATTCACAGCAAACGCTGCGTGCGTAACTGCCAATAGACCCACGAAGAACGCCGCGAAGAGCTTCCTCATGGTGGGCTGCGAGACTGGTTAATGCAACAAAAGAGACAATGAGGACTACTTAATACGTTCCTTTTGAGTAATTAAGCCAACTTCTTTCAAGAAGGAATTAAGTAGCCCCAATTTGGGAAGCTTTCCCGGCTGGCAACTCACGAACTATGGCTGAATGCATGCTCTGGGGTGTTCGGGCACCCAGACCCAGGGCTTTCGTTGGTAGTTTCACCTGCATTTAAACTTATTTTTGGCGAAATCTTTTTGTTTTCCCAATTTGTTATGATTTAGTCCTAAAAAAGGACTTTCGGACACTCGCTTTCCCCGATCCACCTGCTGCAGGCGCAGCTTCCAGCTTCCTTGTAGTCACCCGCATCGAACTACAGACGGCATAGTTCAATCTGCCCGCCTGCTTTGCTTCGTTTTTCCATTACTAATTGTTTTTACGTCTCCTTTTTTGTTGTGGGTTCAATGCAGCGGGGACCTCTGGGAGTCGTCGCCTCCACCATGAGATGGTGGCCCGCTCGCCTCTGCATTTCCGCTTCCCTTGCGTTGCTCTTTTGGAGTATATGCGCGCATTCGGCGGCGGCAGCTACAAATGGCTCCCCCTTACTTGGTTCGGAGAGCCCATATGGCTCTTTGGGTGCTCCTACGGAGACCAGCGTCAATCAGCTGGCCGACGGGACCCTCAGTTACCGCACAGATATGCTTGATGACGAGTTCATCCCTCTCGCCCATGCCACCCCTCATGCAATTCACGCCCAAACACCTTCTATGCAACAGCAGCAGCAGCAACCTTTGCATGTGGAGCGGCACGTGATCGTGTTGGGGGAGGAGCGGCCTCGGGTTCCTGTATTGAGGGGTCGGGGTTTCTTTATATTGGGTCTGTTGATGTTGGCAATGTGTCTGTCAGCAATCCACAGCAACCCCGATGCCAAGTCATCCAGCTTCCTTCAAGGCGTCTCTTCAAGCGCACGAAATGTAGCACAATTCAAAGACCTCGCTCGCAGCCTATTTGTGCTGCTCACTGCAGCAGCATCTCCGCTGCTGATTGGCTGGGGCATCAAACGCCTCGTTAAGACCCTCCCTGCATACCTCAAATGGGCAAAAGAAAACGACGAATTTGGCATTGGCCAGCTCGTCATCGTACTCCTGTACACCTGGATGTTCTTCTTCGACCCCGCAGGGAATTAAGTAATAACTAAATCAAAATAAGCCAAGCATCTCGTCGCTCATTGCGATTTATCTCCTGGTTGCAGTGTACTGGCTTGCTCTTGGAGGCCTCCTTAAGCCACCCAGAGATGTACAATGGAATACAGCGGATGCAAGGATCTTCCCACATATACATATGCATGTACATAAGATGCTCAAATGTATTGTGAGCATGTAATTATTGTAGATATTTACATGTTGTAGGTATCTGTATATGAAATTACAGTGTATCCGCTTATGGAGGAAACTGCATGGCTTAGTGGGGTAACATTCACATCAGCTACCAGTTTTTCGCGCGAGTGCATTCGCCGTTACGTCGGCGCGAGCATTCCGCTGCACAGCCTCGGATTATTGTGTGTGCATGTGATTCGAAGTGTAAGTATACATATGCTTAAGGGAGTTTATGCAAGCATATTGTGTATATGTGCGCCTTAGCGTGAGCACTTTGCTGCATACCCTTGGATATATTGTGTATTTACATTCGATTCGGAGTGTATACATATGCATGCATTCGGGTATCTATGCATGTATGTGCATGCATCTACACCTACACATGAAAGCACTATGTATGCGTGAACGTACATGCGTGCTTATGTGATGCATGCATATGAATGACTGCCAAACACATGCTTACGTCTTCATGCACGGGGCTGCAGATTGAGCGCAGTGATAAAGCTCTCTTTAATTCCAAGGCGCCTGCGTAGACGCTATGTCTCCTGTTTGGCTGAGGGAGGAAAGTAGAGGAAGGGCCCCGGCACTACAGCAGCTGAGGGCACAAGAGCACGAGCGGTTGCCTGAAGGGCTTGCTGCTGCAGGCAAGGCCAATACGGGTGTCCCTTTCTCCTTTCCTCCCCATGGGCCCCCGGTGTAGGTTGGTGGCGAGGCTGGGGGCCTTGGCACGCTGCTTCCGGGGGACATGAGGCAGAGGCGGTGTTCAGCAGGAAGAAAGCCGTGCTGCTGCTGCCACTGCAACCAAACTAAGGCGTTTACTGCATATATATACCGAACTATGCGCCGTCGTCTTTTGAGCTGCTTGCGCTGCTGCTGTTTTGTCGGGGAATGTAGGTATTGGATAGTGGGGTTAGGGCTGTGAAGTTGGGAACTGCACGGCTGCGTTACTATCGAGTATCTTCTGACCGCTGCTCCAGCCACTAGAGGTCTGCGGGGTAGACTAGGGTGTAGGGTAGAGGAGCCGCAGCAGGGCTTTAGTAGGAGACAGAAGTATATGCACGTATAGTTATGAAGCGAATGATGCAGGAGCACACAGGACGAGACAGCCGGTGATCGAAGAGTACGGGGGGCCGTAGGTAGAGAGGGGAAATCACCAGCAAATTAGCAGGCAGCGGAGGGATGGGTGATAGCACACGAGACTACACGAGCGGAAGAGACCCAAATTGGCACGGACCCGAGCATATGCAAAGCAGAGTCTCCAAAGGGAAGGCAGAGAGAGGGAACACTGAAATGTTGGCTGAGACGCAGTTAGGGGAGGACGCCGAACTGGCGTTTTCTCTTCTTCAGGGGGCTGAAGAGCCCTTAAGGTTAGCCTAAGCATCACCATTGTAGTTACGGAAGTGCTCGTAGTTACGGAAGTGCTCCCGAGGGAATAATGGTTCATGCGGTAGAGGAAAGACCAACTACATCAGGCTGAAGGGAAATCTACACATACACACAGGCATAGTGCGACTACAGATTTTTCTTCTTCTCGCTGTAAATGTTACCAAGACAGCTGAACAGCTCCATGAGAGCTGCCCTGCAATATGAGCTATTGTATTTTTCCTCGTTTCATTCAAATGCAACACCACCAATATGAAAAAGGGCATCTCCCAGGCACTACCGCCGTATAGATACACTATATTAGTGCAACTGAAGTTTGGTAAAGGGGGGAAGTACTGCTTGTTGCGTTTGTCATGTTCATGCTCACAGACGCTTGCACGATGTGTTTGCTTGGAGTTGTTGCAACGGGGGGGCTATAATAGCACTACGATGCAGAAAAAAACAAAACGAAGCTTATCAACAAGTTTTCCCTGCTTGTGTACAATGGGTGCACTGCAAAAAGGTGCGGATTCTGCCATTTCACGTGGTATCCTGAGTACAGATAAAACAACAGGTTTGTACATGTTTTCACTACTTGCCACTAAGTCACTACTTTCAAAAGTTTTTGAAAACATACATATGGAAGAGGCGAGTGAAATAAATAGCCACTGCAAATCATGCAGCCCTTCCTGTCCAAACATACATATATATTGGCGCTCAGACTAACCGGCAGTGCAGAACGAAGTTGCTGCCTGTTGTATCGCTCCGGTGGACCAACAGCTTTCAGGTGTAAAAGGAGGACTGCATGACTTGCAGTGCCTATTTATTTCACTCGCCTCTTGCATGCTTGCGTTGCTAAGCCCTAGTTTTGCCGCAAAGAGGCTTTGTTATTAGTGCAATGTTTACACGTTCAGCTACAGTGTTTACACCTGAAACAGCTATTGGTTCAGCACAGTAAAACAACAGACAGCAACTTGGTTCTGTAATGGGGGTTAATGTAACCTAACTGGTTTAACAGCGCAGGAGGAACTATAACATATGCATTGGTGTAAATTTGGTGTTCTGGGGAGGATAATCGTAGTGAAGAAACAGGACCAGCTGCCTGGAAAGTGCAAGTAAGTACTGCTGACTGCCCAATTTTAATTGTTGGTGGAAGGATTTGTCTAGCTAAAGGGCACTCAATTGGAGACGTTATAAGCATTGAAGCAACGTAGGAAAGTTGTGTGTTGTATTTAGATGCATGTTGAGTGTGAGCTATTTTCGTGCTGCTTATGCAGGCGTTGCAACGGAGGCGCTTGCGGCAGAATACAGCCTGACTCCCTCTCCGTAGCATCATTTGCATGCATTGTGCTCGCGAAGAACCTCAGCGGAGACCACTCAAGCGACCTGCACCTGACGAGTGCATTCTGTTGCATTCACCACTGTGCTGCCTCTTGTAAGATGCCCTGTTTGCTTATATGTTTGCTTATATGGATGCTTGCATGGATGCCCTGTTTGTTTGCACTTGTTTGAAATCTTCCCGATACACAGCTCACTTACAGAGAGGTGAAGCCTCTCGTATTGGGAACAATGATTTTATTGAACGTTCTTCGGTGGCGTTCTATCCTTTATGCCAGTGAGGAGTGGGTACACCATGCACTTTTGTTCATTTTTAATTGGGCTATTGGTAGCCCTATAAATGCTTAACAATTGACAGCGGTGTTTGCACGTATTGCAAAGGGAGGGCCGCGTGCGGAGTACCGGTTACCTTTTCTGCAGGAGGGGAAGGACGCTCCGACTTCCGACAAAGCCTCTCCCTCTCCCCCATGGATCCAGGGAACTCTGCTGGTGTGGCACTTGGTGCGACAGTGGCATGTACAGCAGCAGCCCCTTTGTCCTCCCGTCCTACGCCGTTCAAATGCTCTCGTTTAGTATTTTCCTTCAGTGTTTATTTGGTTGTTGTTTCACGTGAATGGATTTACACCACTGTTGCTCACAGCCGTCATATTTGTCTGAGGCCGAGTACTGTAGTTCAATGCTCACTGCATGCAGTTTATGAATAACGCAGTAACAGTCTGCTGTCCCACAGAGTACACCACCACTTTGTGCTCACCAGTTACTCCGTTTCTGCAACAGAGAGTTCTTACGCAGCGAAGTAATGATGCAGGGCGAGATGATTTTCTGCAAACTTCCCCTGTATGTTCCTGTAGTCTACTGTCCTTCTGCACTACTGAAGACTTCCTAAAAGTCCATAACCCTCCTTTCGTTTCAGGGAGGCACTTTGAGCTCGCTAGAAGACTGCTATGGGAACCGGAGACGGCTGAGCTAGGGGGCAAAAGGGTGACTCTTCCTACGAAAATATTCTTTGCACTTTCAGTGCCATTTACACCTTAGTTTCGCGGCTCCTTTGCTGCAGAAACCCACCAACAATGCAGAATAAAAGCCCTGCACCCGACCTTTTACCTGCCACGACTTCCCGCTATATCCTCCCCCCAAACATGAGAAATATTAGGAGAAAGCCGAGTGCATGAAGTTGCGCACAGACGTGTATGCACTCGTGCATTCAAGCACTGTCGGTAGTTTACCTTCAATTCCCCAAAAGGCCTCAAACAGTCAAACATATGCAAAGGGAACCTCGCTGTAGGTCCGTTTACACCACAGAGTACCGCAACTGTACATCAGCAACAGCCTTAAATAATCCAAAACTTTCGTGTAACAGGAGCTCGTCGATTTCCATGGCAAAGTCCACATTGAGAGAATATGACTCCCTCTCTGGTCATCAGCGAGAACTCACATGCAATCAGTGCAATATACAGGCCGCCCTGCTGTGGGCTTGACTAGCTTGCTGCAAACGCTAGCAAAGGCACCTCTCAACTATGGGATGATGCATAGTGTAAAGGGGCTCTTTTGCCAAGACAGACGGTAGTCATGAGCGGCAACTGATTTTAAACATTCGAACTTATTCTATTATTAGTTGCATCACACCTTGGTTTGCAAGCTCCCTTTGCAAGGCAATAGACCCAGAAGAAAGCATAAGCAAGCTGTTCACTGCATGCACACACACTGTAAACAAGTACTAAACATCTACATAACTATCACTAAAACCAAATTGCGCACTAGAAGAAACACTCAGAACAACCTTAGACACGCGAAGCAAGTGGTCGCCTGGCGTGACAGGTGCAGCCCATAGGCACATAAAGTTCAGCTTCTGTGAGAGCTGCTGTTGCCCTGTTAATGTAATATGTACAGAGGGAGATATTCATTTTTACTTTAATATTTGCAGAATCCACTGTGTTCTGCTAGGAAAGAAACCCCAACGTTCCAACTAACAGCCCCACAAAGCCCCTCAGCCCCATGGCGCGTACGATTGTCAGCTGCTCGTATAATACTTGGCTGCTGCTGCCGCTGCAGCTGCAGCTGAAGCAGGTGCAGTGGCGGGTTTTCTTCTTAGAATACATCGCCGAGACGGGATTTGGCGAGGATTTCGGGAATATTGCCCTTTCTATTTTCAGAAGAAACATAGAAAATGGCAAAAAGGACCAAGAAGGTACGCAGCGGGCTTCATTCCTATTTTCTCTTCCCCTCACGCAGCGCAATCTGATCAGAGCGCTTGGCGCAATCAGCAACAGCTGCCGAAATTTTTTGTCTTTGTTTTTTTGGTGATAATTTAGTGGTGCGATTTGATGGGGAGTTCTCCTCTTTGAGCGAGTTTGAGAGTGGAGCAGGCAGCCCCGGGACCCTACCGCATCTGTCGCCCAGATGATTGTCATGGCAAAGGGGAGAGCGACCCCCTTATTTTGCTTCTTTTTTGCATTATTTATTTTAAATGTAGTTCTTTTTTTTTGTCCATTTCATCCCCGCGATCCCTGACGTTGCGTATCTTTCTTGTTTAAGCTACGACGGGGCTCACCCTGTGCGTACTGGCATTGTGGGGCGCAACATTTGTCTGTTTTTCTCCCTAGTGAACTTATGATGAGTAAAGTTATAAATTAAGAGTACCATTTGGGGAGGAAGGAGGGAAAGACGAGTACCATTTGTGGCATCTTGCTGCTCTATATGTTCTTCCTTGTCTGTTGCTGGTCTATTCATCTTAGGATTTATTCATCATTGTAGGGTTTAGGGTTTAGGGTTTAGGGTTTAGCGGACATTAATCGCTCTTTCCAAGAGCCACTCGAGGCCATAGTTCACCTCTGGTGGTTCCAACGGGGAGCAACAAAGACGAAATCGGCGGCAAAGTTGACGAGGGGCTCATTCTTTTTTCTTTTTTTTCCCTGAGTTCTCTCTTACTGTGCCGTTCATCTTTTTCTTGCATTGAGGGTTTCTTATAGGAATATATTCATATTACGTGTACTGCTGCGCCGTGTATCTGTGCTGCATGTGTACTGTTGCCTGAATTTCACATATATAATGCAACAATATTAATATATTTTATACATATTATATTATATATATTGTATATTGTATATATATTTATTTTTTTTTTCCTTCTTAGGTCGGAGTTGTAGGGAAGTACGGGACACGCTATGGCGCGTCTCTGCGTAAAGTGATGAAGAAGGTGGAGCTGCAGCAGCATGCAAAATACACCTGCCCCTTCTGCGGCAAGGTGAGGGATAAGGAAAGATATATAAAATACAATTATTAAAAGAAGACAATCCTTTTTATGTTATTATTATTTCTTCAGTGTTTATGATTGCCTGCGGCGCTGAGGGAGGATAATGTAAACACTGCTTTCGTTGGCGGTTTAGGGTTTAGTGTTTAGGGTTTACGTGTGAATACATAAGAAGAAAAGTAGTAATTGTTAGGGTGTATGTACATGTATTGTTGGCGTTATTGCTGCCCAAGTAGATATATATCTATAGTGTCGGTGCTCATTGTGTGTATGTCTGCATGCGCATGCGCATGACTTTCTACATACTGGATCCCCATTTGTTTCTTCGTGTTTTTTCGTTCCTTTTTACGTAATTTTAGCACCATATATAGGAAGTATTTCCCTTTTTTATTCCCTTTCTGCTCTGCTGTGACGGTTGGTATAAACTGCTGTCTAATAAGTAGCATTTATTTTGCATTATTTGGGGTGTATGTGCAGCTAAGCGTGAAGAGAGAGGCTGTCGGTATCTGGCACTGCAGAGGTTGCTCAAAAACGATGACTGGAGGCGCGTGGACATTGCAGACTGCAGCAGCAGCAACTGTACGGTCTACTGTTGCACGTCTGCGCAAGCAGATGGGGGAGGGAAAGTAAATAAAAATATACTTGTTCCAGTCTGTTATTTGTTGTTGTTTATTTAATAACAAATAACAGGAGGCAACTACGTCTCCAGTGTCTAGACAGCTGCTGCTGCTGCATGCAGCAGCTGAACGTCGTTTCCTTTAATTCTTTCAACTTTGAATACTTCTTCGCAACCAAAAGAGTGTACATACATAATTGCCACCACAATGCATGCATGCACCAAAGACAGGTGTAATTTGCTGCTGTTGCTGCTGCTGCAGTTCTTTGAGGTGTAGACCGATAAGAATGTATAGATAAGTGCCGTACAGGGCAATTTGTATAGGCTATATGTATTACAAACAAAGCAGCGCAGCAGCAGAGGTACATTTATGCATATATAGTAAGTATAAGGGGTGTGGATATCTATAAGGGTGGTGTTATAAGAGCATAGAGTGACGCCACCACGTAGTAACAACCCCACTAATAACTACTGCTACTACCACCACCACTACGAAGGTGCCTAGGGTAGGATGGTGGGCTTTCGCTGCGTAACCTTAAATCCTGTTGCATTGTTACGTGGCAATAAAAGAGTAATTGAATATATAAAAAAGTAGAACCTCTCAGTAAATGTGAACAAAGACGGTCACAGTGGTCTCTGGCAACAGGAGGATGCGAACACGTCGCAACTAGCATACAAGAAGTGGTAACAGGATCGATTCAGGGGTAAAACAAAAGGAAAATTGATTATAAATGTAATTTATTTGTATTTTATTGCAAAAAATGAGAGACTAACTGGGTAAGCAGGAGTGGATGACGACACTCGTTTCTAATCATAAGGAAACGTGCCTCCCTCGTCAGGGCTGCGGCGGCTGCGTGGGGTTTGGAACCCATCCTGATTTGGCGTCCTTGAGCTACATATAATTAAATTTGTTGTATTTTGTTAATTTGCAGGCTGGTTAATAAGATATTTTCTATTTTGAGCCGAAGACCTGCAGCGACACCCGAGGTGTGCTGGGTCTCGGCGGAGGGAGCTGAACGGCTCACCACTCCATGCTGCCGATTACCAGCTGAAAATTCACGGTTTTTATGCCTTTTTACGGAAATTCAGCATTTTTCATGTTGAAAATAAGCTGGCGAATATAAAAAAGGCATAAAATATACCAATTGCTGCCCGCATCGCTCTGTTAGTTGTTGCGGTCTCGGCGTAACTAGCTTACTGCCTATATCTAAAAAGTGTGTGTTATTTTCTTCTTTTAAGACGAAAAGTTTGTTGTCCTTCTTATTTATTTTCTTGTTTTTTCTTCCTTTATTCATTTTAGCGCAGATGAATGCCTCTTTGGCCGATCTGCGTCACCCCACGGGAGTTGTTGCTGCTAGGCTTCTTTTTTCCTTTTCTTTTTTTGCCAGCTGCATTTCCTCCCTTTTACTCTTTTAGGTCCTTTAGTGCATATAAATTTGTATATTTCATGCATTAGAGGCTGCACACGGCTGTTTGTATGGCTGCTGCTGGTGCTGCTTCTGGTGTATATACAAGCTGCCTTATAGTAGGCATTAGGTATTATAGGTTACCATTTTCCTTGGATTATCATTAGCTTTCCCCTATTCTTTCTTTCTCTTCTTTTCCTTCCTCATCTTATACAAGTATATAAAAGGATAAAATAAGACAATTAGAGTATAAAATTCATTTTCTTTTTTTTTTCCTTCAATTTTTATCGCATTTATTCATATAATTCCTATTATTCATCATGGTTATGCACAGAGTTCGTGCAACTTCCTATGTAAGGAGGACCCTCTCTCAGCCTCTTAATAAAAGAAGAGCGACGGCCGCTCTTACGCCTCTTCCTGATGGTACAGGCGTAGCAACAAATGCGGATATACAAGACACAGGAGGCAAGTCCTTTTTTTTTTCTTCCCTGTTCTTCTGCTACAGTTGCTGCATTTGCTGCTGCTGCTGCTTGTCCTGCTTGTGCTGCTTCCTTTTGTGTTGTTGCTGCTTGCTGCTGCTGTATGAAAAGAACCTGTTGTGTCTTTTCTTTGCTGCTGGTTGCAGCAGCAGCAGAAAGGTGTTGCATGCATGGATTCGCTGCTTATGCTGCTGCTTCTGCTGCTGTTGCTGTTGCTGCTGCAGGGAATATAGTAGGCAGTGTAGCTGCCCCTAACCGTCAATTACATTTAGGTTTATTAGCAGATGGCAGCAGCAGCAGCAGCAGATTAAGAGGATTAGGTACAGAGACAATAGAGGAAGAAGGAACAGAAGAAAGTCTATCTGATGGTCCTATGACATTTACTCTTAGAGAAGATGTTGCTAGGCTTAAAGAAATATGCCTCACCAAGTGTGCTGCTGCTGTTGCTGCTGTTGTTGCTGCTGCTGCTGCTGTTGCTGCTGCTGCTGCTGCTGGTGCTGCTGTTATGGTTCCGTTTTGAGTTTTTGGGTCTTTTGTCAGTATTTTGTTTGTTCTTTTGAGCAGTATTTGCTGCTGCTGCTGCTTCCGTTGCTGCTGCTGCTGCTGGACCTAAGGGGGGTAAGTGGCTGTGCATGCATGCATGCATGCCTGCATGCATGCGTATGTGTGTGTATATATATACAGGACACAGCTGCTGCTGTTATTTGCTCCTCTTGGTCTATGGAGCCGTCTTGGTGGTCTACAAACAATCTTTGTATTTATATTTAATTTTGCTGCTCTTATTCCTCTCTCTGCTCTATTAGGAGCATTTACTGAGGAACTCTCTCTACATACAGGAGGTAATGAGGGTTTAGGGTTTAGGGTTTAGGGTTTAGGGTTTTTGAGGGTTTAGGGTTTAGGGGAAATAAATAATATTTTTTCTTTTTTTTTTTTTTTCTTTTTTTGTTTAGAGATAACAGGGGGACTTCTTAATGCAACTTTTGGTAATGCCGTAGAGATGATCTTGTCTGTCCAAGCCCTCCGAATTGTAAGGGTTTAGGGTTTAGGGTTTAGGGTTTAGGGTTTAGGGTTTAGGGTTTTAATTTTTTTTTTCTTTTTTTTTTAATCTTCTTTCTTATTTTACCTCTTTGTCTTTTTCCTTTCTTTATATATTTACTAAATATTTTTTGTTTTCTTTCTTTTTTTTTTTTATTGTGTTATTTATTTTGTTTAGGGTTTATTAGAAGTAGTAAAGGGTACATTATTAGGGTCTATATTATCTAATTTATTATTAGTGTTGGGTATGTCTTTCTTTGCTGGTGGTCTTCGTCATTATTTACAAAAATTTAATGAAAAAGGTAATTCACCTGCTGCTGCTGTTGCTATTGCTGCTGCTGCTGTTGCTGTTGCTGCTGTTGCTGTTGCTGCTGTTGCTGTTGCTGCTTTTGCTGCTTCTGCTGTTGTTGCTGCTACTGCTTGTAAAAACTAACAAGACAAGCCATTTATATCATTTACTGCTGTCTCTGTTTGCTGCTGCTGCTGCTGGTGCTGCAACAGGTGCTACATGCAGCGTAACGCTGCTGCTGCTCTCCTGTATGGGTATAGTAATCCCTACAGTTGCTGCAGCAGACAATGGACAACATGGCACTTATAATATTCTTATGGTAGGTCTAAATAATTATTTTTTTTTTTTTTTTTTTTTTTTTTTTTTTTTTTTTTTTTTTTTTT